TATTAACAGAAGCTGCTCGACGGCATATCAGAAAGAGATGTAAGTTAGCTTGTAAGTTAGAAACAACATGCGTTTTTAATATGCTTATTCTAACTTGTGCCAAACTTGTGTAGGTTTATTGGACCCCGTACGGGGCTGTTGCAAAGTACCAGGTTCCTCGTAGTATGTATTACGATATTATACAGTTCATGGAGATAGTGGAACCGTACATGCCAGACTGTGTGTTGCGGCAATATGGTAGAGTCCAGAAGATCTTTTTTGTATTATCGAATCTGCTAGGCCGCACCACCGCGGTATTTACGTTGTGGGTTACGAGGTCATATTTCATGCACCTAGCGGTTTGTGGGAGAATGAAAACGCCAACTTCATTGACTTATCGAACTACGAGAAAGCGTGGCATCTTAAAACAGTTGATCCGAACTATATGAAGTGGTATATGAAACGTACGCACTCTATTGTTTTCCATTTCCGTTGGTTCTTTATTAGGATGATGGCACTTGACTTTTGCAGTTTAATTATGTTGAATAATTACATGGTTTTGCATTATAGTTGTATTGAAATATTACTTGGTTTTGTATTTTAATTATGTTGAAACCACATAGTGACATTAAAAACAATTTACTGGTCCTCTCATGATTTTACACGAACAGAGAATTTGTGGTCGTGTGATTTCACACAAGCAAACCTTCTGTGTTCTTGTATAATCACGCGAGTACACGTGCCTGATTCCCAACAAAATATTGTAAGGGCAGTAAATTAGGAGCCGCGTAATACCTGCATTGAGGATGGAGGCGAGGTAGAGGGCACTAAATCTGACTTGAAGGATCATGAAATTATTGTTATGTAATGACACATAGGAATAATATTTGATAACGCAGGATTCCCAACTAGCGGTAGATACGTAAAACTACCCAACTGAGTGAATATTAGCATCATTGCATTGTATCTCGTAGCAATTGCCAATCACACATCTGTTGACATCATTTGGCCCGTGGCTCATGTCCGCTTTCACGACTGCATGTCAGAATATGATCGGCGACTGCATTGCGAATCTCTTCATCTCCACATAACATATCAATAGATAAATGATGACGCTCCATAAACTTTGCAACCAAGTCATGACTTGTGACCATCTTTCTTGACTTCCATAAATTATTTTGGCAATGCATCGGTGCCTACAATTACCATCGACCCTCACATTAACATATGAGGCTATAGATTGTGCGAGAAACGGAGGAAGGAAGGAAAAGAAATTGATCCGTTCTCCAGCATTAACAATCAATTCTTCCTTCGATTCAATATGTCCGCGACCACGATCTTTGAGCTTTGATTCATGCTTCAGTCGGGGTTTTGCGACCCCTTGAATCCGAAGACGATTAAACTTATATTTTCCGCTTCATGGTGTGCTCATAACTGGAGAAATCTCTCATCATCAAAATTCTTAGGTTGTCCATTGGCCTTCACAAATTATGGCTCTCGCAAATGTATTGATGTAGGATTATTTATGTCGCGTAAATAGTTGGCTGCATTTTTTTGGGACATAATCCTTCTTAGATAATTTCTTGAACTCGTCGAATTTTTTTTTTTCTTAATTGCAATTGTGCGATCAAATGGTTCCTCATAGTATGAACTTGCCATCGACTCAACGATAAATGTTCTCGAGACTGGATGTATCTATTGGGGGTAATAAGTATCTCCTTCGACAAATTTAACTGCAACTTGACACGCGGACGGGAGTCCATGTGTTCTGCTAATGTAGCAATTACAACTGTCCGGATTTTCTTGCAGTTTCTCCAACTCTTCATCCAATAGGTCCAATGCATTATGTGATACGTTGCATGTCAAATCACCAAAACACGGATATGAAGTACCGTACATTCTGAATGTTCTGCTTCTCTTGTTTTTCACCTTCAATTCATTAATTTGAAGGTGAACTTGCGCATCAAGTTGATTGAAACTAACTCTTCGATACACGACGTGCACTCTCCACCCTGTTTCAACAAACAATCAATTAATACATAAATGTAATATTTTATGTAACAAATATTAAAAAAAAATCCTATTGTATGCCTGTTAGTCGTCGTGTTACCAAAATGGAGGATGTTGTTAGTTCAACACTTTACAAATCTCTCCTTGTAAATCAAC